CAGAGTCACACAGCTTGTAAATGTCAGAAGCTATATTTGAACTAAGGTCTTTCTAAGTCCCAGCCTGGCACTCCATCCACTATGTCACCTAGCTACCTTGAAAGAAGGAGAGAGAAAGACAGACAGACACAGAGGCAGAGAGCTCGAAAGACAATGAGAGGGACAGAGACAAAGAGAGAAAGAGGGGAGAAAAGAGGGAGAGAGACAGACAGGATATCCCAGCAGATGTCCAAATTTTGAAGTCTCTGATCACTATTATCTCATACCTCCTCTTCCCATACTCCTTTGTTGTGTCCTCTTTCCAACTAGGTACCTCCAATGACAATATAGTTTCTATTTTCCCCTCTGTTGATCTTCTTTCCTATGGTTTTCCCTTTATTTTTCCCCTTCTTTGGGATTTCCTTACATGCTGCTGCTCTCCCTCCCCTGTCCCTTTATCTGTCCTTCATCCTTTTCCTTTTGAATATTATATACTCTTATTCCATCCATGGATCTCAGCTCATCATGTCTTGATGATATCAAGAAGATCAAATTCTTCGCATTGCAGGAGAATCTAAAGTTCTCCTTGCTTGCTTCACATACTTTGTGAATATGTTTTTAGAGATCTGAGGCCATGGGTTTTATTGTGGGATCCTTCCAAAGACTTGTCCTCTTGTCATTTTCAAGGTGCTTTTGGCTACTATTCTTCCCACACTGCAGCTACACTGTGTAATAAAAATATACATAAAAATTGCTTAGGTAGTTTTCTTTCTCCATCTTCCTTTTCAGTTTAAAGCCTTTTTAAAGAGATTTCAAAGGCTTCAGGAATATACTGTCTTACCAGTCCATGTGAGCTCAATGTTATCCCCAAACCAGGAGTTCATCATTCTTCAAGTTTAAATCATAGTCCAGAAATCCAAAATCTTTCCTCATTTATACAAAACCTTCTGTCTGTCTGCTTCGGTTACATGAGGTAAAGCATCCCCAATCAGTCTCCCCCTTTTTTCCCCTAGTGTATTCCTGTTTCCCTCCTTTTCCTTTCTTCTTTGGTGGTCATCAATACATAATGAAAACACTTGCAAGCCCATTATTTGTTTAACAGCCTCTCTGACCCCTGAGGACATCAGAAGTTTGAGGAGAGACTTGTATCATCTTTCCCTTTTAGCATGTAAAGTGTTGTTCATCCTTCCTTTTGGAAGAGGATCAGTGACATTTTGGAGTGAAGGGGACCAATGACATGAAAGGGTGATGTCTTGACTTATTCATGAATTGTGTTTAGATGAAGTTGTCAGCTTCAAGCACTCTTCCAGAGTCACCAAAGTCCAGTGGCAAGACAAAAGTCAGGAAGACTGGTGATTGGCCAGGATGCATTGGATGGCCTTGGCATCTTTGATGTCTGATAAGGTCCAGCCACCTTCATGGCCATTGGAAAAAAATTGTTCTCATCCACCCATTTGACTGGGGGATGTCTTTTTATGTGTAGACATCCCCCTAAATCAGAAATGACTTTGACACCTCTCAGTTACCCTCAACTTAGCTGCTCTGCTGACATAGTTTTACCAGGATTTGGCCATTGTACATGCTACAGCTTCTTGGGGCTATATGTGAGAGGTGTAAATACTGTATAATCCCTAGTATAATCTTGTATAATCCCTTCTGATTACTCACTGTTATTGATCTTTGTACTCAGGTGGTACAGTTCACGGATCACTGGGTTTGGAATCAGAAACATTCTTTCTGAGTTCAAATCTGGCCTCAGACATTTGCTAGCCATGTGACCCTGGGCAAGTCATCTAACCCTATTTATCTTAGTTGCTCATCTCTTAAATGAGCTAGAGAAGGACATGGCAGATCCCTCCAGTATCTTTGCCAAGAAAAGTTCAAATGACGTCACACAAAGGTTAGAAAGAGGCCAATGGGGAGATAGTCTTTCTAGAAGCTTGACTATGAAAAGGAATAGAAAGAGAGGGAGAGACAAACAGAGACAGAGACAAGACTTGTTCATGAATTGTATTTAAGTGAAGGTGTCAGCTTCACTCTCTCTTTCAGCAAAAGTTTGGGGGCAAGATAAAAGTCAGGAAGACTGGTGATGGCCAGGATATATTAAATGGCCTTGGCAGCTTTGATGTCTGACTAAGATCCAGCTGCCTTCATGGCCATTGGAACAAATTGTTTTCATCCACTCATTCCACAAGGGGAAGTCTTTATATGCATTGGGTTGACATCCCCTAAGTCACAAATGGGTTTCAGGCCTGTCACTTACCCTCAACTTGCTTTAGCTGGTCAGCCAAGATGGTTTTAGCAGGATTTGGCCATAGCACATACTACAGCTTCTTGGGGGCTACAGGTGAGACCTGTAAATACTGTATCCTTGTATGGTCCCTTCTGATTACTCACTGTTATTTACCTTTGTACCTAGGTATATAGTTGTACAGATGACTGGGCTTGGAATCAGGAAGACTCCTTCTGAGTTTAAATCTGGCTTCAGACACTTACTAACTGTGTGACCCTGGGCAAGTCACTTAACCCTGTTTGACTCAGTTCCTCATCTGTTAAATAAGCTGGAGAAGGAAATGGCAGACTGCTCCTCGATCTTGCCCAGGAAAAGCCCAAAAGAGGTCATAAAGAGGTGAAAAAGTGGCCAATAGGTAGATAGTTTTTCTAGGAGTTTGGCCATGGAAAGGAAGAAAGAGAGATGAAGGCAATATAATTGAGACTGAACAGAGCATATAGAAGGATTCCCAGGTGGCTTTGCTGCTGGCCATGTGTGACTCAGCACTCTTGTGCCTCTAAGATGAAAAGCCAGTCATGCAGGACTCAGATACCCTAAGCCTCCAAAAGTGGAAGCAAACCTGTTGTTGACTCAGCAGATGTTCAAAAAGGCATACTTTGTCTTTTCAAAGTTACAAAAGTACTGAGTAAATATAGGCAGTAAGAGTCAGCCAGGAATCTCTGGAATGACATTTTTGTTTAGTTTTGTTTTAAGGATGAGGGAGAAGTACATTTTACAGTAAGCAATAGGATAGGAATCAATGGATTTAAGAAAATTGAAAATTAGGGAAAGACAGGGGAGGTTAGAGGTTGAAACCTCTCAGCAGGGAGAGGGGGAGGTGAGAGCAAGGGCCAAAGTAGTGGGGTGAGTGGTTAGAAAAAGAGATGCTACCTTCTTTTTTTTTCTTTCCAGTTCCTCTACCATATTAGAACAAAAGAAAGAAAGTGTGTGTGATGGTGGAGAGATGACTAAGAATAAAGAATTTTAGAAAAGAATAAATTAGCAATACATAATCTCAATTTTCTTAGTGATGTATTAAGTTCAGTGTTATGGTGAGAGGGAAGGAGTGAGATGAAAGGAGAGGCCCCAGTAAAGAAGAGTAATCTTAGAATAGATACTGAAGGGAGAGGGTAGTCAGTTGGGGCAGAGATCTGTGTTCACTTGCAAGGTTATAATAACAGAGAAGGCAAGTGGTAGGAATAATTTCTTGCTAGTTTTCAGTAAAGTAGTGCATGTCCCATAGGACAAAGGGATGTGGGATTTGAAAGTGGAGAGCAAGTTGAGTTGGAACTGGCTCAGTGCTGAAAGGAGGAAAGTGAAATGAGAAATGGAGTAAGGACCTAAAGCACTGATGAATGGACTCACCCCACTGATCAAAGTATCATAGATGGAGACTCATTAGGGAATTCTGAGCCTATGTAATCCAACCCATTCATTGTAGAGATGAAGAATCTCATGTGAGAACAAATGGTGAAGCGACTTGCCCAAGGCCACACAAGTTGTTATCAATAGGGGCAGGATTGATCTCGGGTCCTCTGCCCCCAAAGCCAGGAATCCTTCCCTGTTACCACATTGTCTTTGAAGTCATGAAGCCTCAGTGTATGGAACTAAAAACACAAATTTGCATGTCTGGAGTTGTTAGCAACATAGCCCTGTTCATTCTACCCCAAATTCACAAACAAGAGCTATATAATAAAAAATAGGATCATCTGGAAGGAAACATGAAAAGAAAAGTACAAAAACATATGGTTTGGAGGGAGATGTTTTACAGAACTTCCTCCACAGCCTAAATCTAGAATTGAGGATTTGCCTGGACATATTGGTGCAAGGGTTGCATTTTAATGTCTGTAATGCAGCCCTATCACCTAATGACATTGAAGATACTCAACAACGCTGTCATGTCTCTGAAATTTGAAACTCATTTTAATCAAGATGTGGGAATTTTTCTTTCCCTCAAAGGGATTCCAGAAAAACACATGAGAGTATTCAGTACAGAAGATGAACCAGCTTGCTAATTCACCAAATCAACTTTGTGTTCTTCTCAGTGAGGAAGAAAGCACAGTTGGTAACATGGTGGAAGTTTGGAGAATCCAACATAATTGGGCTTTATTCTAATTTCATTTGGATCTCCAACTGGTTTGAGAGTGAAGTTCTGTAGAATGGTGGTAAGGAACAAAAACACCTCCATCTTCGCCAGGCCCTCTCCAGCACAAGACCGTTTTCCTAGAAAGAAACGGAATTATGCTTGGTAATCTTCATGGAATATCACAGTCAGCCAGAGTAAAAGAGACTTGCTGTTCCAGCACAATAATGGGAAAAGGAGTAAACGAGAAATATGTAGATGGGCAGAAAAGGTGAGAACTATTATTATTAGTTATAATTCAACCATTAATGGCCATAAGGAGAAGGAAGGAATTCCTTCTTCACAACATTCTTCTCACAGTAACCCCTTGTGTAGTGGATCTTGGAATGGAGTTAGAGGGCAGGTGAGCCAGGCAAGAGGCTCAGCTCATCTATTCAGGGCTCTGAGAAAAAGCCAGGTCATGGGAATACTAGAAAAGACAGTGTATGTCATGTCAGAGTGGGCTATGTGTCTTCAGAAGAACTGCCAGGAGGAGGCTCAGCCAGAGGAGAGTGGGAGGGAGAATGGGATTCCCCTTTTAGAGTGAGAGGTAGAGATGAGAAGGGTTTCTTTTTGCCAGCAGAAAAAGGCAGGAAGTGGTCACTTTTCTTGAATTTCCCATTCTTATCCAGGAAGTGCTGTGGGTCAAACTGGTCAGCCTTGGGAAACTCTTTCTTGTCATGCAAGACTGGGGTGAGCAGTGGGAATATTGTTGTGCCCTAAAGGGAAGAAATTCCAGAGGAGAGTCAGGTGTCATTATGAATATGCTTTGTATTCTAGTTCCAAAAATCTTCAGAGACTCACTATGTTCTCTAGTACAAAATGCATACTTCTTTGCATGTGCATGAGATGTCACACCATTAAGAATCTGCTTAGGCCCCAGTCTAGCTTTCCAGAGTGATGTCCCCATTATTGTCCCCATCAAGCCTTCCTTGGGGCTCCAGCTGAACTAGTCCAGCTGCTGTTCCCCATCCACAAGGCCCCCTCTGTGGTCTTCATGCCTTTATAGTGACCATGTCCCACACCTGGAAGCCACTCCTTGCTCACTTCAGCCTTTTAGATTCCCCAGCTTTCTTCAAGGATTGGCTTGGGTAACCCCTCTTACAGGAAACCTTGGCTGAGATGCTAAGCTCTTTGTGCTCTCCCTGCCCTCAGTTCTTTGGTCTATACATCATGTGTGCACCTGCTGCCTGTGGGACTCTGGGCAGAACATGTGAATGGCCAGTGCCCCAGGCAATGCTTAAAGACTCTAGGGGCACACTAGGCTACCTTCTGAGGGAATTTCTTCAGCAAGAAGCCACTTTGCCAATCAAATCACAGCTTGGGTCTGAAGGAAAGAAATAATACTTTAGGCTGACTTTTCTGGTTCCAAACAAAGCTACCTTGTGCGCAAGCCAAAGTCTTCAATGGTCAAAAACCCTTCTATTGTCACCTTGTTTCAGTAGCACTTGGCCTAGCAATTTTCACATAGTAAGTTCTTACTGAAGCCTTCATGATTTGAACTGAACAATGCCTCAGTGGGGTACATTAAATGTGAAATTAGGTGTGATGCTGCCTTCACTTTCCTTTCAGGGAGAATAGTTTTGCTCAGCCATTGCTAGGAAACTTCAATCTAATTCAATTTAATTCATTCACTGTTTATTTAGCAACCCCAGAAAGCAGCATTTTAGAGTCTAAAGACCTAGGTTCTAGTCTCAGCTCCAACACTGAAATGATCTTAGGGAAGCCATTACACCTGAAAATCAATGTCTCTATCTACACAATGGAACAGAGAATAGTATGTATACATTCTGCTTCACTGCCTAGTAAGAGAAAAGGACAAAAACATTTCTCTTGAGCAACCTCACCCTGTTACGTTCCCTGTACATTTTCTTTCCAGAGCATTACTGTAGTGAATGAGAAGCAGGAAGAACAGAGATAAGGGCACACTTTTCTCTTATTCTTCATTTAGCACCACATGCGAGTAAGCTGTATGTAATAACGCACTGCCTCAAGGAGAACTTTAAGTGAGATCATGACAATGGGACTCCATTTTCTCATGTCCATGATGAGATCATTGGAATAAATAGTGTTTAAGATCCCATTCTCCCAAGACTACTGACTTTGGGGTGGATATATTGTTGGAAATGAATGTCTCGGTTCACTGCATGGGGTATGTTGAGAGGTACGAGGTCAATGAATCTTTGCACTTCATGCACCACAGCACCCATGTATTGCATATCTTGTCTGTCCCTTATGGAAGGAAGTCGATTGTGTCCAATCATACATTCAATTTCCTCAAGAATTTTTGCTGCAGACACAAAAATACAAATCACCACTCAATGTTCCACTCTCCTGGGAATTCTCAACTGAGCCTGTTTGCAATATCTGCCTGATGTTAGGACCTGAGATGATTCTCAGATGAGCTCAGTGTCCTTCTGCTACTCAGTCAAGGATACAAAGGCTTCTGTAACAGCAATACCATAAACTTCCATGATTTACTGGGTAGGACTCAGAAAGAATTGTGTTTACATTTCTCTTTAGACACTACCTGTGTAAATTCAGGTAAGTCATTAAATCTGTGAAAGCCTCATTTTGCTTATCTGAAAAATGAGGATCATAAATTATCTGTCTTCTAAGGTTCCCTACCCCTCTAACTCTATTATCCTATGATTTCTAAAATGGAGATAAAAACTGTACCTCCCTTAGCAGACATCAAATGAAATTACATGTCAAGTTATTTGTAACCCTCACATTCTTTATGTTTATTATGCCAGCTCTTATTGTCAAAAAAGTCGATGCCATCATTTGAATTTGTTAGTGCTGGTGATGGCATTATCATCTTGATTTAAACCATTCACCAGCTCTGTATCTCAGCTCCTGTCTCAATACCCTGAGCTGCTAAGGCATAGAATCTCAGCATTACGGTGACATGTTTTCACCTAGGGCCATCCATAGCTGAACAGGAATCCTGACTCTAATGGACTGAACAAAGGGTCAACCAGCCTTTGCTTGAGAATCTCTAGTAAGCAAGAACTCACTATTTCCTGCGCAGCTGAATGGACTTCTGGAGAATTTTAATAATTGGTAAGTCTTTCCTTACATGAAGTCTCCATTTGTCAATATGTAAGTTCTACCTATGGTAGAACTGAGGGTGCACAGTGGGAGCTTTATATGTGTTCTTTAAAGTGAATTGAATTCCTCATGACAGACCTCCACATGTTTAAATAACTAACAGGTCTTGTTCAGGGGTCCTGTTTTCTTCAATATGCTACTGTCTGACCTGTTGCTGATCTGTGAGGAAGTCATGCAAATCCAATAGGTGGAAAGGAGAGACGAGCTCCTGGGCAAGCTGCAGGAATGGGAAAGCAAGCCTGGTCTGAAAGCATGGCAGTTCTTGCACTTACCTTGGACCTCAGGATATTTCAGAATGAGCAGCAGGCCATATCGTAGGGTGCTACTGCTTGTCTCTGTTCCTGCGCTAAATAAATCTACTCCTGTCATTTTTACATTTTCCAAGTCAAATTCAGTCTGAGCATTATCTTTCTCCTAAAGCAGAGATACAAAATACATTAAGTAATGAGAGACAGCAGGAAAAGCCATTAGTAACCATGTGAAGTTCTTAAAGTTTCTCTTAGGAGTCCTCCCCCACCTTCATTTCCCCACTCTAAGAGAGAAGAACCTTCCTAATGCTCTTAGGTTTCCCTTACCCATCCATAGGCGTACTTTTCCCAGGCAACCTTCTTCCCGTCCAGAAATATGACATAGTGAATAGAGCACTAGGCTTTGAATCAGGAAGATCTGAATTAAACTTTATTCTCAGCTAAGGGGTCTGTGTCCATGGGAAAGTCACTTAATTTTTCTGGGCCTCACTTTCCTCATATGTAACAGGAGACACCTGGATCCTTTCAGCTCTCTATTTATTATCTATGATATATGTGGCATGGTGAGGTCCTGATAAAGTAATTCCCCTCAAAAAGTTGATAACCTGCTAAGAGACCTTGCATACAGATACTTTTACTACAAAGCAGGACAGCATTTTAGTTTAAAAGAAACAAAAAGAAGAAGGGATTTCAGATTTTCAGAACAGGGAACTGAGAGAAAAGTCTTCGGGCAGGAGAATACAGAATTTCAAATTTTGTAGGGAGACCGGAAATTCAACCAGCCAATCTGTAACTGATCAGAAGTTTCCTTTTCCAAAACTCCCTTAAATTGTCAGCCAGCCCCAGGTTGAAGATTTCCTTACATGGGGAATTTATTACTTAATGAAGAAATGTATTACATCTTGGACATTATCCCCTTGTGTGGAGATTAAATGTGTCTCTGAAACTTCAAATGACTTGTGAGTTCTGTCTTCTGGGAAATGAGGAAGCACAGGAATTCTAACGCTTTTCTGGGACAGCCTTAAAAATTAAGTGGCTGCTAAGACTCCTTCCAACCCACAGATTCTATGAAATTCTATGAAATACGCAAGCTCCTAGGATTTATAGCTAGGACGCATCTTGGAGATCAACTGGCCAAGCACATTCATTTTAAAGAAAAAGAACTTGAGGCCTACAGAGGTGAAACAATGATATTAAAATCAAAGCAGATTGAGTTATAGTACTAAATAAGTAATCCTGCAAATACAAGCTTCATCCTGAACAAAATAAGATGGACTTATAGCCATCAGTCTTGTAAAAATGAACAATTTTGAAAGATTTATGAACTCATGTCAATTCAACTAGCAAACATGAGCACAGAGTACTAGTGATGAAGAATGGTACCTGCCTTCTGAGAGAGAATTCATGGACTAGTATGTAGAAAGGGACACATTTTGGGACAAGGCCAATATAGAAATGTATTTTTCTTCATTATGCTTGTTTGTTAAGAAGCCTATTATTTGTCTTTTTTCATTGGGTGGGAGAAAATAAATATTTGATAAAAGAAGACAGACTTCAAGAAAAAAGGGTGGGTTTCAGGCATTTCCTAAAAAACAGAAACTCAACATGAGTCAATTATTTGACCTGCAAAACTTCAAACCAGACAAGCATAAAGTAAATAAATTAATGAGAAAAGATAAAGCAATGGAATCAATACTCTCATGCTTGTATGTCAGCTTGACACTATTTTTAAAAAATCTCCCATTGGCCCAGGGTCCCTGGAAAAAAAACTGAAAATTGCAGAGGCAATAGAAACAGAGTGGCAATATATGGAGGGAGGGTGTTAAAAAGTTCTTAAGGATACCTTCATTTCAACCTGAAAGAAAGTCTCTAGTGAACAGTTCAATGATGTACGCCTGGTTCTGTAGTGTTTAACATTTTTGTCAGTATATGAAATCAGTCAATCAACAAGGAAGTATAAAATGTATTTTCTGTGCCAAGCAGAATGCCAGGTAATGGCGATACAAAAGCAAAGGATAAAACTAAGACAGCCCCTACCCTCTGGGAGTCTCGATTCTACTGAAGGAATACAATACATATAAATATAAGTACACATGGGATCCATGGAAAATACATACACAGAGATTTGGGGGTGGGATATTAACAACAGGAAGAATAAGAGAAGCTGCTTGAAAGAGGCAGCAGCTGAGTGTGAACGGATATTAGGGCTGCTAAGTGTTGAGGAAAGAGAGTGAGAGCATTCCAGGTAGGGGGGCCAGACTGTATAAAGGTAAAGAGGCAAAAGATGGAATATTGTGTACAAAGAAGAGCAAGCAGGGCAGCTTGGCTGGGGCACAGAGGGAGGCTGTGAGAGGGAAGAATGTGTAACCAGCCTGGAAAGAGAGGCTGCAGCCAAATTGTGAAGGGCTTTAAATGCCAAATACATGAGTTAGTGTTTTGTCTTAGGAGCCCTGAAGCTTCCTATCATGGGAATAACCCAGAGAGTCTTGCACTTTATGCATGTTAACTTGGCAGATTTGTGAAGAATGGATTGAGGGTCTGGATGCTTGGAGAGCTGGTAGGAGAGAATTGTCACTGTCTGGGTAAGAGATGCTGGTGATCTGAACTAAGGTGGTTATGATGTGAATACAGAGAGGAAAGAGTTCATGACACTGCCATGATGGTGTTGGGGGAGAGAACACATTTACTCTCTCCTCCCCACCTCCAGCCCTGAATTCTCATGACTTACTTGGACAATCAAGAAAGATCTTGATTTTGAGTGATTTTATGAGAGAAAATTATAGCTAGATTTTGAGATTATAGCTAGTATTTATACAATGTTTTAAAGTTCACCACGTCCTTTAGCAACATTATCTTAATGACCATTCTGGGAGATAAATGCTATTATCCCCATTTTACAAATGAGGAATATGACTTCCCCAGGATTACACAGCTAAGAAGTGTCTGAATTTGGTTTCAAACTCAAGTCTTTTTGACTCCAAGCCCTGCTCTGCATCCCATTTCTCCTGTTTAGAGCTTACTTTGTATACATTTGCTTACATATACTCTCCCTCATAAGATTGTGAACTCTTTGAGGGCAGGGGTTCTTTTTTGCCTCTTTTCTGTCTTTGGCACTTAGCAGAGTGCCTGGCATATAGTAGTTGCTTGGTAAATGTTTATTAGTCGATTCCTATTATCACTCTCCAATACAATATCCCCTTCCAAACAGGAAAGTCCAGATCACCAGCTCATCACCCAGAAAAGCAGAACTCTTCCAATCTCATTTTCCATACAGACTTCAGATCAGGGATATGGGCAGACCAAAGACCAGTTACTAGAAAGCCAATGGTGTCCTTGGGGGATGTGGGCACTTTGGGGTTCTCTCTGATGCCCCTTCCTGTGCTTGTGGCCTGTAAGAATCCTTGGAATATCAGTCTTACTCAACAAGTAAGGTGCTTCCCCATGCATCTTACCTGCTGCATTTTGGAGAGGTAGTAGTCAATGTAGTCCTGAGGGTTGTTGGGGTCCAGTACCTTCTGATGCTCCTTCACTCTTTCCAAAATGAAATCTTTAAGTTCCTCATTAATTTTTAAAATTCTTTTGTGTTCTCCAGGGAGGTATGCTCTGAATGCTGGTAAAAAGTTGTAGAGCGACATACACCTACCCCGCACCCAAACAAACACGTGTGAGTTTATTGTCATGAAGAAACTATTTAAAATCTCTAATTATAAATTGTTGTATCTTATTCAAAGCATTGCATTTCTTTTTCAAATTTAATTAAATTTTTCATTGACAGAAGTATTTTCTCTCTCATCTCCACTGAACATTGGTACAAACAAAAAAGAAAAGCAAAACCGTAGAAACAAATACACGTAATCAAGCAAAACCCACCTTGGCAATAGCCAAAAATGTATGTCCCACTCTACATCTTGAGTCCATTCCCTTCTCTCTCATAAGGTGGGCAGCATGGTTCATTGTGCTTCCTCTGAAATCATCGTGGCTCCTTGCACTGTTAGCTTACATTTGCATGGTATTTGTCCTTCCAGTGTTTTTGTTATTGAACAAATTGATTATTCTGTCTTTGCTGTAGTTGTTCAGTTGTTTCAGTCGTATTTGGCTCTGTGACCCCATTTGGGATTTTCTTGGCAAAGATATTGGAGTGCTTTATCATTGCCTCCTCCAGCTCATTTTACAGAGACATACAGGGTTAGGTGACTTGCCTAGGATCATACAGCTACTTTGAGGCCAAATTTTAACTCATAAAGATGTCTTCCTGATTTTAGGCCTGGTACTCTGTCCATTGTATTCCCCATTGAAGTGACTTTCCAAGGGTCATACAACTGTTCTTCCTGCCTCAAATTCTAGCCCTCTATTCATTGAATTCCTTTCTGTCTCTAAATCTTCTGATCTTGTGATCCCTCAATCCAAGGAGCCATCAAAGGAATAGCCTTCTTAGACACTTGGGAGTAGTGAGCTGCTCTGCATAAATCCCAAGAGTGCCATGAATCTTCTCAAATATACCCCTAAGTTGACACATATCTCAAAACGAATCTATCTGGTGCTGCTCTACCCACTGAGGGGACCAGATGGCATCATATTATGTCGTTGTTCAAAAGAAGCTCATATTTGAGTTAAGAGGAAACCTACTTTCCTTGGAATGACCAACATAAAAAAAGAAGAAAAAGCAACATCAAGGTATCCAATTAATTGCATTAAATTCACCTTAAGTTAATGAAATGCATCGAGCATTTTTTCAGTACTCACTATGAACCAAGTCCTGTGGTAGGCTATGGTGATATAGACAACAATAAAGTAGTCTTACATTCTACCAGAGAAGGTTTAGCTAGAGTACCTATTCCAGACTGTAAGTGCAACAACATAGGCAAGGGAAAAGAAAGCTTGTTTTTCAGCTGGATGAGGATCTTCAGTTCTGGCTTCAGTGGATGAAGGTTTTCATCCTACATGTCCATCCATTGTAGAGGCCGAGCCAGATCACTACAAGAATCAGTGTAGGCTACTGATCTAAGTGGCTTGCCCTTCCTATTCTCTCCTGGATATCCTGGGCAGGTTCTTTTTTGATAACTATTTTACTTGGTCACATCTGTGAAGAGATACCCCAGGCCCCAATTAAACACTTCTCCATATAACTTCAATTTTAATGATCTACAACTAGTGCAGGTGCCAACTAGGAACAGAATATCTACCTAATATCTTATTTGAGAGCCAAAGATACTGCGTGATGTTATTGTCCTTGAGTGACATGTGTGTGTGAATGTGTGTGGTGTGTTCTCATGGGTGTTGGGACATTTACTAAGAGATGAGAGGCTATGGTATATTGATCTTGTTGCTGAAACTCAGCAAACAACCACAGAATAAGAAGAGAGCTCTGGCCTTACCTGTGTCCATGGTTTCTTAAAGAGGTGGAAGTTTTCATTTAACAAGTTCATCAGATAGAGAAATTTCTCATCATCGTACTTGAATCGGTCACGGAAGAGGATGGAGCAGATCACATTGCATGACACACAGCTAAGGATGAAGGTGGGATCAGTGGGCTGACCTAATGTGGAGACAAGTTACCAAAAGGGGGAAAAAGCAACTTTAATAGAAATGTTTCCAATCAGATGGGATATGGGCATCATACTTAGATAGGGTGCTTAGTTCTTTAAAGGCTAATGAATGTTATTCTCCTGGACAATGTCTTTACTTATAGGGAGGCTAAATGAGCTTCTAATGCCTGAGCACGAGAAACAAGAAGGGAGTTTTCTGACCCGGCAGAGTTATTATCTGGTAAGTAGATGAAGGCAGAGACTTTTACACTGATTCCCAAAGCAAATAGCATTTAGGACTGGGAATGGGTGAGCAGTTAGACGCCACGTGCCCAGGAGGAAAGAACTGAAAAAACCCTTTGTTTTCCTGAGCTCCTCCACCAGGCATTGGGCTTCTTCTTGAACTCGCTCTTCAACGCTTCTCTTCCCCATCCCAAAGTTCCTTAGGGTCATCAGGGTAAATCTGCGGTGTTGTTTCCACCTCTCTCCACGACTCAAAATAACTCCTAGAGAGAAGAGAAGAGGACATTGGTCATTCTTACATTGGAAGGGGGAGGGCACAGTGTGTATGGTGGCTAAGGAGTTTCTGGCTTAGTTCATTGATCAAGTTTAATTTTATTCAATTCAAACTAAAATACAATGACAGAATGGTAGGTACCAGGTACCTACTGCAGGAAGTTCTTCTCTTAGGTACTGAGAATAGAACAATTAAAATGAAACCAGTAACTATGCTCCAGAGGAGCATAACACATGCTCAGCAGAAGACAACAAAGTCAAAGATCTTACATTCAAGCTTCCAAGAAAAAATATGATTTGATCTCAGGCCATGGAAGAGCTCAGACAGGATTTTGAAAATCAGCTCAGGACTTCCACTTCCAGGGCCAAGATGTCAGAGTAAAAAGGTAGTTGCTGCCACCCACCCCCATCAATCTCTGAAAACCCAGAAAATATCACCCCAGAAAAAACCCTGGAACAGCTGAAGCAGAAGAAAGACAGGGAACAGCAGAGAAGTAGCCCAGCCTCACTTTAGCACACCAGGAGGAGATCCTGGTGACTTGGCATTCTACAGCAAACCAGTCTCCCACTGTCTCAGCAAAAGTAAGGGAAGCAGCACTACAAAGGGCCCTAGGTGGGTAAGCACCCTACAGTATTCATCTGAAAGCAACTAAAGAAAGCAACCTAGAGTCCTACTAAAGTTCCAGCCTTGCTGGTTCCCGCCCAACACCAAGTAAGCTGTCAGAACCCTACAGTCCCCAGGTGACAAGCAGGAGGAGATCCTGAAGCCCAGGTGGTAGAGTAGGCAAACACCAACACCTCAACCTCTGAGTGCCTCAGGGAGGGTGGGGGAACTGGTGGAAATCAGCTCAGAAAACCACCAGGTGCCTCAGCATCCTACAGCAAAGGAGACTCTCAGTACCTCAGCAGATATAAGAGAGGGAGCATTGCAAGGGGCCTCAGGCAGATAAACCCTCTGCAACACCCATCTAAAACGAGCTGAAGAAAGCTAAAGGGAAGGAAAAGCAGGCAACCTGGAATTTCCTGACAGTTCCAGCCTTGCTGTGTCCAGCCCAACACCAGGTAAGCTGCCAGAACCCTACAGCCTACAGTTGCCAACATAAGAGGCCCCAGCACACAAACCCAGTGACCAAGACCTAGGCTCCCAACACAAGTAGCTTGGGTCTGTGCCATCTGATTCCCAGAAGGAGAGCTCAATCTCTTTAAAAGCCAAGGGATAAAGAAACACTATGAGTAAAATATAGATTCATATTATGAGAAGAGTGAAGATCAAGACAGAAATTCTGAAGAGGACAACATTGTCAACAAACCCACATCAGCAACACCAAAAGGGACTATGAACTGGTCTGAAGCCCAAAAAGCCTTCTTAGAAGAGTTCAAGCAGGGTTTTAAAAGTCAAGTGAGAGAGGTAGAAGAGTCCTTAAAAAATACAATTGGCCAATTGGGAAAAGAAGTACACTGAAGAAAACAAATCCCTTAAATATAGAATTGGCCAATTGGAGAAGGAAGTAAAAAAAACTAATAGAAGAAAACAATCTGTTAAAAATTAGAATTGGACAAATGGAAACTGATGACTCTATGAAACAGAAAAAATAAGTCAAACAGAAACGAAGCAATGAAAAATTAGATGAAAACATACAATACCTCATTGGTAAAACAACGGACCTGGAAAATCGATCCAGAAGAAACAACCTAAAAATTATTGGACTACTTGAAAATCATTATGAAAAAAAGAGTCTGGACAGTATCTTTCAAGAAAACATAAAGGAAAACTGCACTGAAGTCCTGCAACAAGAAGGTAAAATCACCATGGAAAGAATCCAACGCTCACCGCCTGAAAGAGAAACCAAATTGAAACCCCAAGAAATATAATAGCTAAATTCCAAAATTACCAGATGAAAGAGAAAATACTGCAAGCAGCTGGAAAAAATACAATTTAGATATCATGGAACCACAGTCAGGATTACACAGAACCTTGCAGCTTCTACATTAAAAGATTGTAGGGTGCGGAACATGATATTCTGCAAGGCAAAGGAGCTTGGATTGCAGCCAAGGATCAACTACCAAGCAAAAATGAGCATGATATTTCAAGTGAGGAGATAGATATTCAATGAAGTAGGGGACTTCCAAACCTCCCTAATGAAAAGACCAGAGCCCAAGAAAAAATTTGATCTTCAAGTACAAGACTCAGGAGAGACATAAAAAGGTAAATGGGACAGAAAGATGCAATATGTTGTGAATAATGACAAACTGTCTACATCCCTACAAGAGAAGATGACACTTGCAACTCTTGAGAACTGTATTGTTATTATTCCATGTTAAAGGAGTATACATAAAGGGGCTGGATATAAGTGGACTTTGATGTAATGATAAAAAATAATCTAATCAAGTGGGTTAAATGGATCCAAGTAAGTGAATTAGTCTGATCTAAGAAAATGTACTGAGTAAGGAGGAGGCAGACAAGGGTAAATTACATTAGAGGAGAAGACACAAAAACCTATTAGAGCAGAGGGAAGAAAGGGAGGGGGGTGAGCATTGTTTGAACCTTGCTCTCATCAGATTGGGCTCAAGAAGGTAATAACATAATCAGTTAGGTATAGAAATCTAACTTGCCCTGTAGCAGTAGGAGAGAAAAGGGGAAAGAAAAGGGAGGGGGAATAAAAGGGAGGGAAGAAGCAGTAAGGGTAAAGAGGAAGAAAAGGGAAAGGGCTAATAGAAGGGAGGAGGGACTGAAGGAGGCAGTGGTCAAAAGCAAAACGCTAGTGAGGGGGGAGAAGGAGAAAGAAGAAAAGCATAAAGAGGGGGGGAAAGGATGGAGAAAAAGACACAGATAGTAATCATAACTGTGAATGTGAATGAGATGAACTCTCCCATAAAACAGAAACAGATAGCAGAATAGAGTAAAAACCATAATCTTACATATATTGTTCACAGGAAACACATGTGAAAAAGAGTGACACATACAGGGTAAAGGTAAAAGTCTGGAGCAGAATATATTGTACTTCAGCTGAAGTAAAAAAAGCAGCGGTAGCAATCCTGATCTTAGATAAAGCAAAAGCAAAAATAGATCTTATTGAAAGAGATGAGGAAGGAAACTACATCCTGCTAAAAGGCACCATAGCAATAAAGTAATAACATTACTAAACATATATGCACCAAATGGTATAGCATCCAAATTCTTAGTGGAGAAATTCAGGGAATTACAGGAAGAAATACACAGCAAAACTACACTAGTGGGGGACCTCAACCTTCCCCTCTCTGAACTAGATAAATCTTACCACAAAATAAACAAGAAAGAAGTTAAGGAGGTGAATAGAACATTAGAAAATTTATGTATAATGGACCTCGGGATTAAATTAAGTATAGAAAGAAATATACTTTTCTCGGTGGTGCGTGGCACATACACAAAAATTGACCATGTATTAGGCCATAAAAACCTCACAACCCAATGCAGAAAGGCAGAAATACTAAAGGAATACTTTTCAGATCATGATGCAATAAAAATTATATGTAATGAAGGGGCATGGAAAGACAGACTAAAAAATAATTGGAAACTAAATAATCTTATCCTAAAAAATGAATGGGTCAAACAACAAATCATAGAAACAATCAATAACTTCAATCAAGAGAATGACAATAATGAGACAACATACCAAAACTTATGGGATGCAGCAAAAGAAGTTCTTAGGGGAAGTTTTATATCTCTAAATGCTTACATAAATAAAATACAAAAAGAGGAGATCAGTGAGTTGGACACACAACTAAAAAAACTAGAAAAAGAACAACTTAAAAATCCTCAACTAAACACTAAATTAGAAATATTGAAAACCAAAGGAAAATTAATAAAATTGAAATTAAGAAAACTATTGGAGTAATAAATACAAGTAAGAGCTAGCTTTATGAAAAATCAATAAAATAGATAAACCTTTGGTTAACGTAATTTAAAAAAAAAAGGAAAAAGAAACCTAAATTACTAGTATCAAGAATGAAAAGGGTGAAGCTACCACCAAGGAAGAGGAAATTAAAACAATAATTAGGAATTATTTTGCCCAACTATATGCCAACAAATTTGACAATCTTAGAAAAATGGATACGTATTTACAAAAACATAAATTGCCCAGAGTAACAGAAGAGTAAGTAAAATATTTAAATAACCCCATCTCAGAAAAAATATTGAACAAGCCATTGATGAACTCCCTAGGAAAAAATCTCCAGGGGCACATGGATTTATATGCAAATTCTATCAAACATTTCAACAACAATTAATTCCAATGCTATGCAGACTATTTGGGAAAATAGCTGAAGAAGGAGTCTTACCAATTCTTTTTATGATACAAATATTGGGCTGATACCTAAACCAGGAAGAGTCAAAACAGAGAAAGAAAATTGTACACCAATATATCAAATAGATATAGCAACTTATCACAAGAATAAACACTATGACCAGGTAGGATTTATACCAGGAATATAGGGTTGGTTCAATATTAGGAAAACTATCAGCATAATTGAGCATATCATCAACAAACAACAAAACTACATGATCATCTCAATAGGTGCAGAAAAAGCTTTTGGCAAAATACAACATCCATTCCTATTAAAAACACTAGAAAACATAAGTATAGATGGAGTCTTCCTTAAAATAATAAACAACATCTATCTAAAACCTTCAGCAAGCATTATACGTAATGGCAACAAGCTAGAAGCATTTCTGATAAGATCGGGGGTGAAACAAGGATGTCCATTATCACCACTATTATCAATATTGTATGGAAATGTTAGCTTTAGCAATAAGAGAAAAAAAATTGAAGTTATTAGAATAGACAAAAAACACACAAAGCTATAACTCTTTGCAGATGACATGATGATATACTTAGAGAATCCTAGAGATTAAGTAAAAACTACTTGAAATAATAAACAACTTTAGCAAAGTTGCAGGCTACAAAATAAACACACATAAATCACCAGTTGGCATTTTTATATATTACCAACAAAGCCCAACAGCAAGAGATAGAAAGAGAATTTCCATTTAAACTTACTGTAGACATTATAAAATATTTAGGAGTCT